AAGTCATTTTTTTTTTAAAATTTCCGTTTTGACATGAAAAAAACAGATATGATGGTAATAACGGAAATTATTCGGTATAGCCGTAATAATGGAAACTATAACGGATATGCATGTAATTTTTCGAAAGTTTTATCTATCTTAAAAAGTATCCTATTTATTTATAAAATTTCAAATTATGAACTTTTTTACTTTAAAAATAAGCTAATGCCAACTTAACATAAGATATTTGAAATTTTAGAAAATATTTGAGATTAGAGTCCTACTGCATCGTTTTTTTTTAGTGAAGTTCAAAAATATTATTGGATCAACAAAAGTACAACAAATTAAGAGATTACATCATCAGATACCAACACCTCTGTAAAGAAACTCCATTCTTCGCAAGACCATAAACCAAATTATTTGCCTTACGAAAAACATGAACAAAGGCAATAGTAATGGAGACAGAAAGATCAAGAATTTGTAGCAGGATCGACCTAAGCTCCCAAGGAATCTTAATCTCTTTGGTACATCATTTGATGACATTCAGGGAATCTCTTTCAACGATACACGTATTTCCTGGGGATCTAGCAGCAAGAAACTTAAGACCTTGAAGAACCGCAACAAGTTCAGCATAATTCGTTTTTTTTATGCCCAAAGGGCATTCATAGGTAAATTGAATAAACCCATTACTGTCCCTCACAACTCCATCAAAACCAACAAGGCCCAGGTTTCTTAAAGAACTGCCATCAAAATTCAATTTGAGAACCCTATTCGACGTAGGAGACCAATTCTACCTCGGCCTACATTTACGATACCCAATTGAAAAAGAATGTAAAGATTAAACTTCACATCTACTTCCACAATATCCCTTCCCACTTTGGAGATTGATAAGAATTCCCAAATAAAATATAAAATTTTCACCATCATTTTATTCCAGGATAGACAACAACCTTCAAATACTCTTCTATTTCCTTACATGGCCTACGCTCCCTCTATTTCCATGATCGTGTGCCAAGGGTTATTTCTTTACATGGAACAAAAGATGGTACATGGCTTTACCGACAACATCCCATCCTTTGATAAATCCCAAACCACCTCATCCTCTGCCATAGCTGAGATATAAACCTCACTAAGAGCTGCTAATACCTCAGAGAATTGGGTAAATAGCTCATCCGGGATTCGATTATAGATAAGATTGATCTGCCATTCCACCTTATCACCATTAAATATAAAAAGATCCCGAATAAGAGCATTCGGATTTTCTTCTTTTTGGAAAACAAGTGGAAAGACCTGCTTTAAAGGCGAGTTATTTAGCCACTTATGGTACCAAAAAGAAACCTTACCCCCATCACCAACCATCCATCGTATGTCCCTATGGTCAAAGATTTGCAATAATTTATTGATCTCCAACACGGCGACACTCATCTGCTACCATTACTTCCTCCTACCCACATCTTGACTCTATCATCGCCATATTTTGCTGCCACAACTTGATACCATAATTGATCTTTGAGCTTTAAACTTCTCCACCACCATTTAGAGTGCTACTACATGTTATTTCTAATATTTAAATTTTTACTTACTAGGGAGTGATTTCATATGACGGTTGTATAGTAATATAATGAAACAATCTTCAAAAATCGTGTTAGGGCTATTTATTTTACCTCAATTTTTAAATATACACTATTTTCATTCAAATGAATAATCACAAAAAAACAAAATTTGATAATACACTCTAGAAAGTGTTTTTTTAGCCCGATTAATATAGGCCATCCATTTTAATAAGATGCTTAGATCTAGGCCTTAAAAAGACTTTTTCCATATCCAAATGGCTTTATTATGATTAAATGAACATTGTTAAAAATAAAAAAATAATTACGAGTTGGTATAGGCCTAGACCTTGAAATTCACCAATTAGATGGTCTATTCATTTTTAGTAGAGGACTCATTTTAACTATTTATAGGATGTAAATTGAATTCTATTTTTTTATGATTAATTATTGTGGTGAAGAGAGGGTTGTACAATTTTTGGGATCATATAAATACCACAAATATGATTGTTTAGAAGTATGGTTCTATTATATTACAATGACATGATGACATGCAATCATTTCCCTTACTTAATTTATAAATAACTTATGTCGTGATACAATAATTAGACTTTTTATCTATTAAAATAAGTAGATTTTTCAACTATTATTAAAAATGTCCCTTTTTTCAATTTATAGTGAAATTTAATAATTTAGATCATGAATATTATTTACTTTATAAATAATTAATTTAATTAAGATAGCTGAAATTTAAAAAAGGAAATTGAGACAAGAGTGAGAACATGTATGAGAATATCTATTTTTAGTACAAGGTCACAATCTTTTTTGATGTTAGATTTGAAATTTGGACACTAAGAACAATGCACACAATTTAAGAAAAAAAATTATTGAGCATCGTGCATAATCAGTGACACACCCTTAGCCATTTGATTTTATATTTGATGGCTAAAAACAACTGGACTGTAAAAAATAAGTAGTCTCATCTTATACTTTCCGTACAAATGGAAGGATATTTGGGTGACTGCCATTATTCCATTGACCAAGCTTAAACTTAAAAAAAAAAAAATTATCGAACTTTGTGACACATCCAAGCTATCAAACTTCATATCAGAAGGTTGTAAGTAATTGTGACCACTTTGTATCAAAGGTAAATGGTCTCATTGTATACAATCCTTTTATTTATTGTTCTTGAAGGTAGAGGTAGATAATATAATGGAAAAAGTTTATATAAGGGTGAGGCTCTAAACAATCAAATGAAGGCGCCCCTCGAAAATTTCACTAGAAGTGGTTGTCTTGATACCCAAATATTTTCAAATTGATCATCTCGACCTCAAGATGCATGGACATAAGAGTTTTGAAAATAGTGCATCTTGTAATGCATTTTTGGATCATCAATTTTCAAGATTTTCAAGTTTTTATAGATCTGCTCGATCTACACTATATTTAAACCTTTAAATTTTATAATTTGAATGAAAATATATTTTAAGGCTGTCACAAAGATTTTCAATATTAAAAATACATTTCTCAATATTATTTGAAAGTGCGCTTTACTTTGATTATTTAGAGCTTCGACGCTATACAAATTGCACCCTTTACAATAATGTAAAATTTATACTGTCTAAAAAAATAGATGGCCTCACTTCTACAAGTAAGATTTCAACCTTATATGAACTCTTTTCTTTCTTAATAGCTATGGTGATCACCAAAATTTCTAACTCGTTAAAAGATTAGGCAAGATAATCTATTTCCAAAACTTGAAATCCATTTTTTTTCTCATGTTCATGCATTGGATATTGAGATAATCAATTTAAGGATATTTGGAAGCATCAAAACAACCTCTTTTATTGAAATTTTTGATGTGGGCTCTAATTTGATTATTTAGAGCCTCAACTCTATATAAACTTTTTTCTATTGTAAAAAGTGTAGTTTCTATAAAAGTGAGGCTCTAAACGATCACAGTAAGGTATACTTCTAAATAGTATCGAAAGATGATATTTTTAGTAGCCAAAAATCTTTGTGATGGCCTTAAAATATATTTTTATCTCTAATTATAAAATTCAAAGCTTAAAAAATAGTGTAAATTTAGTAGATTTATAAGCACTTGAAAAAATTGAAAATTGATGGTCCAAATCATGCATTACAAGATGCATTATTTCTCACACTTAAAATCCATCACATCTATACACCTTGAGGTCGAGATGATCGATTTATGGTTTTTTTTACTTCAAAACAACATTTTCTAGTTAATTGTAGAGGTGCGTCTTAATTTGATTGTTTAGGGCCTCAATCTTATATGAACTCTTTATTATTGCAAAAGACGTGTCACTCTTTAATATTGTCTTAAATGACGTCTTAAATCTATACGGTCTAATTAAAATAGATATTGTAGAATATCACAATCTTCTTTATAAATCACAACCTTACTTCTACAAATAAGGTTGTCATCTTATACAAATGACATTAGAAAAAGAAAGAAAAATAAATTATAAGCCTTGTCAGCCTTCATTTGACTCTCCGCCTCAAGGTTTGCCACATAATAGGAAAGTTGAAACGTTTTGGTTAAAATGTTTAGGCTACTTAACACAACCCACCTTGTGAACTATTTATTTTTTAATTAGCTTTTACTTGTATTTTTTCTAGCAATCACTATGGGTTCGGCTTTTTTTCATTCATGATCCTGGGGTGCAAAGTTTATCGGACCCCGACTCGGACGCGATTTGACCTGGACCAGATTGGACCCGACCCAAAAAGAAAGAAAAAAAAATTGAATATTATAACTATAAATATATAGTTATATTTATTTAAATAATAACTACATATTATTATATATTAAATATTATTAATATAAAAATTCTATTCGGATCAGGTCCATGTAGACCTGGACCAGGACCGAACGGTGTTCGGGTAGATCCAATATTTGGTCCCAGACCTAACCTACCCGGTTTAATTCTTTAACCCATATGATTTTGAATTTCATGAAGGTGCCAACGGTCGAGTATCATCTAAAAGACTGAAAAATGGGAAGCAATAGACAAATTTTAAGATAAGAGCAACCGAGCGAAGTAGCAGACCGAAGCAGCAGTAGCAGCCATGGCTGCCTTCAAACACCCCCTGAACCTAACCCTAACTCTCACCCAAATCTTAAATCTGACCCCTTCCTGCACCTTATCCAAGATACTAAACCCTAAATCCCCTCCAAAACCCTACTTTTTGAAGACCCAATGTGCCCTAAAATCTATCCATTCCGCCTCAAAAGCCCAAAACTGTAAAAATGTTATCCAAGTACTGGAAGACAGAGGCCTCGTAGACTCCATTACCAGTCAAGACCTCAAATCAGCCTCTTCAAACCCTAATTCTTCCCCTCTTAAAGTCTATTGTGGGTTCGACCCAACGGCCGAGAGCCTTCACCTTGGCAATCTCCTCGGTCTCATTGTTCTCTCATGGTTTAGAAGATGTGGGCATAAGACAGTTGCTCTTATTGGTGGTGCCACTGGTCGAGTTGGTGACCCATCAGGCAAGAGTCTAGAAAGGCCCGAACTTGATGAGAAAACCCTAGAAAAGAACATATTGGGTATCAGGGAATCCATTTCAACGGTTCTAGGTAGGAGCGAGGAGATTTTTGGTGGGAAAGAGAAAATTGGGGATGTGATAATTATGAATAATTATGATTGGTGGAAGGAAATGAAGGTTTTGGAGTTCTTAAGGGAGGTGGGGAGATACGCAAGAGTCGGGACCATGCTCGCAAAAGAGAGTGTAAAGGCTCGGCTCTCGTCGGAAGAAGGAATGAGCTTTACAGAGCTCACATATCAGCTTTTGCAAGGTTATGATTTTCTCTATCTTTTTAAGAATGAGGAGGTTTCGGTACAAATTGGGGGCAGTGATCAATGGGGGAACATAACGGCTGGTACTGAATTGATTAGGAAAATTCTTCGCGCTGAAGGGGCATATGGGTTAACTTTTCCTCTGCTTTTGAAGAGTGATGGTACAAAATTTGGAAAATCGGAAGGTGGGGCGATATGGCTCTCGAGCTCCATGTTGTCCCCATATCAATTTTACCAGTATTTCTTCTCTGTCCCTGATGCTGATGTGATTAACTTCTTGAAAATTCTCACCTTTTTGAGTTTGGAAGAAATTGCGGAGTTGGAGAAAGGGATGAGTGGACCGGGCTATGAGCCCAATTCAGTTCAACGAAGGTTAGCAGAAGAGGTCACAAGGTTTGTTCATGGGAAGGATGGGTTATTAGAGGCAGTGAAGGCTACAGAGGCCTTGAAACCTGGTTCAGAGGCAAAGTTAGATTCTAAAATTATTGAAGAAATTGGGGCTGATGTTCCATCCTGTTGTTTGGATTATCACGAGGTTCTGAACCGATCTTTGGTGGACCTCTCAGTTGCTTCAGGTTTGTTAGAGAGCAAATCAGCGGCCCGTCGCCTAATGAAGCAAGGTGGGCTTTACTTGAATAACAAGAGGGTGAATGGTGAAGACATATTGGTAGAGGAGGAGGACATAGTGGACGGGAAGGTGCTTTTGTTATCGGCTGGAAAAAAAAATAAGATGGTGATCAAGATAATTGATAATTGATATTATTTAGTTGTCCAAGGAAAATAGTTGGCTTTTGCATGGTCTCATGCAAACAATTATGCAATTCTTTGATGAGTTGATGTTTCTTTGAGAATTTTGTTCTTTCTTTTGAGTGGTGAAGGAGGTATGCAAATTTGTAACTTAGGGTGCAGGACTCAGGACCCTAAACAATTAGATACTAAGAAGCTACAACCCAGTAACAATGGGCTTCTGGAAAAGAATTTCTCATTTATTATCTTCTTGTATGGTTTTTGGGTTGATGCAGTAGATTTTGCATGAGTTTGATCTTTCAACATAATTAGGCTGCTTTGCTGTTATGCTCACTTGCCACTGCTTTTTTTTGTTAGTAATATATAACCTTTATTTTTTTCAATGGATTTTATTGTATCATTTAAACTATTGGCTAAGCCTACCCTGGAAAATAAGGAACCGGATCTAGGCTGAACTATGGGAGGATGATATATAAAAACTTTCACCTCCTATAATTGGAATGTTTAAAGAGCACTTATTCTAGTGAACGTCAATTATCCCTAGTTCGGGAACTCTCCTTAGGGACCTTTTAAATTCTCATAACCCTGCTCAAATATGTAGAATGCAATCGCCATTTTAAATGGCCGGATCTTTTGCAGATGCACTGTGAGTCTATCTTTCATAGATGGAATGTTTTCATTTTTATTTTTTTATTTTATTTTATTTTTACAAGTTGCAAGTCAATTGGATGAATCTTGTTTTTTAAAGACAAACACTCTTCAAACCCATACTTCCTCAAGCCTCTTCAGGGACATCTGATTAAAAAAAAATTTCCTCAAATTTATGGTATCCGGGAAAGTATGATTTGTGGTTATGTAATGCAGGTGGTACCAAGTGTGGACATTTATTATTCTTATGTGGGCTATTTACTCATCCTTCTTCACGCCACTCGAGTTTGGCTTCTTCCGGGGATTGCCCAAAAACCTCGTCTTTCTTGAGGTGGCTGGACAGATAGCTTTTCTAGTTGACATCCTCTTCAATTTCTTCCTTGCTTATAGGGACTCCCAAACGTATAGAATGGTCTACAAACGCAGCGATATTGCATTGCGGTCAGTATTCTTAACTTGCGTGTTCTGTGAGTGATTCCATCGATGGTGTCATTATTATTTTCTTTTTCTTGAATGGTTGGAGACTATGAGCCTTCATATGAAAGACTTGGACCACCTGTATTATTTTTATGATTAGCATGGTAATATTACCCATGATCCTGACCATTTATTGCCTAACAAATGCATCTGGAAGGGACCCATGGGCCCCATCATTACCAATGGGCTTGAGTCCCAATTCATTCATGTGCATTTGCACAAAGATCCTGGGTAATGGTGATTATTGTTATTCATAAATCTGTTGTTTTTTTTTTTTGGTTCTTTCTGGTGGAGTTCTTCAGTTATGCCAAATCCTGTTTCTTGGTGGACCTTTTTGGCTGTCTACCCTGGGATGCCATTTATAAGGTACTCATCAGCCATCCTACCTTTAGCTTTCCTTTCAAGACAATTAAAAATTGTACTGTTCAATATATGTTTCTTGTGTATGGCACACAGCCAAGCCATCCACCTTCCATTCTTCTTGACAAACGGTGGAGATTGATGTAACCATTGGATGTACGTCAGTAGAGAACATGGTTGATCTCCAGTTCTCCACTGTTAGTCATTTGGAAGAGATGGTTGACCACTAGCTGTGCAATCGTAAGAGCATGCTGAATTTATCTTTTGGGGTGTCCTTTCCCTTGTCTCTATACTGAAATTCTAAAGCTTCTTCTAACAACCCTATGACTTATTTCCCAAGAAATATTAGTTATTTGATGGTTACCTTCCATACTTTCTATGTGCTAGGTTTCTATAATTAGATCGCTACTTGATTACTTTTATCTTGTAGGATCTTTTGTTGACCATTAGTTTTCTCAAGTATGCAGTGTAAAAAATGATTTTCATACAAGTTACTTGCTAGAATTAAACCTTGAATGTTTTTGCTGAAAATCATGAACCATTTAGTTGCGTCTCCTTGAGGGAACTGTTTCATTAATGTATATGTTCAGGCCAGCGGAAGGAAGGAAGTAGTGAGATACCTCTTATGGGTAAGATTGAGTCGGTTGCAGAAAGTCACTAATTTCTTCCAAAGACTAGAGAAAGACATTCGCATTAATTATTTGTTCACCAGAATAGTGAAGCTTATTGTTGTTGAGCTTTACTGCACACATACGGCTGCCTGCATTTTCTACTATTTGGCAACAACAGTTCCTGAATCAGAGGAAGGTTATACTTGGATAGGAAGTTTAACAATGGGGGACTATAGCTACTCACATTTCAGAGAGATTGATTTCATAAAGCGGTATTTGACATCACTGTATTTCGCAATAGTTACGATGGCCACAGTAGGTAAGTTCCTTTTTTCAGAATTATTTTCCTTGAAAAGTTTGAACACTGAAAGCTTATTTCTTTGAAGTGTGTTGTTTACTTGGAGTTATCTTGCATGATCCATTTGGCTCAATTTTTGGCATCCCTGAGTGCTAAACAATGGTTAGATGTCTGACCATTGGTTCAATTTTTTGGCATCCCTGAGTGCTAAACAATGGTCAGATGTCTGACCATTGGTTCAATTTTTTGGCATCCCTGAGTGCTAAACAATGGTCAGATGTCTGACCATTGGTACAATTTTTTTGGCGTCCCTGAGTGCTAAACAATGGTCAGATGCCTGAGGTCCAAGGATGACATGTAGATTAGATTCTATGCATTGGTTTCTCTAACCAGGGTTTGCAACCATGGAGGGTGGAGAGAATGGCTTTATTTATTTGAATATACATTATTCAAATGGTGATTTGTCATATTGCGCGTTGTGCTGTAGAGTCATTTAAGAATTGGAAATCTTTAGTGGGTGTGGTTTGTATACTAAACAATCAAAGTAAGGCATCCTGCTAAATAGTGTCGAAAGATGATTTTTCGGCACCAAAATCTTTGTAATGGCCTGAAATTTTACTTTCATCTCTAATTATAAAATATAAAGCTTCAAACATAGTGTAGATCAAGCACATCTATAACCACTAAAAAATATTGAAAATTGATGGCCGAAATAATGCATTACAAGATGCACTATTTCCCAGACTTGAAATCCATTTCTTTTCGCATCTATACATCTAGAGGTCAAGATGATCGATTTGAGGATTTTTCGACATCGAAGTAATCTCTTCTAGTGAATGTTTTAGGTGCGCCTTGATTTGATTGTTTAGCGACTCAACTTTATATAAACTTTTTCCATCTTTTATATTTTGCATGCTTATGCTTAAACCTCCCTCTATTGGAGTTGTTTATCTTGTGTTAATTCTTCCATATTTTTGGTTTTCCATTATACTTTTTAACATTTATAGTTGTAATAGTTAATGCATGTGATTATATGTATCTATTGCATTGTGATTAAGAACTAGATATGAAACAATTCATTTAGTATAAGTATATCATACTGCAATCAAGTGATCTTATTATATTCCTTAAAGATATGTATAAGTTATCTTTGACATGTCATTAAGCTGAATCATTGAGCTACATTTTTTATGAGACACAAAGTTTACAATTCTTAATGTCTCCTACATGAGGCACATTTACAGGAGTTTATAATTTATAATAATTCATTTAATGCATGGAAATGTGAAGCTTCTATAATATGACTAAGCATTGGGCCCAGAAGTACTTATGCATGAAACTTAGATCCTATTGCAATCAAATTGTTCTAGCTTTAGTTGAAAGGTAGAAGTTGATGTAAGTCAAACACTTTGCCACAATTAGATTTTGTGGGCATTGCTTGTCCTCTTTTATCAACATTGCATCATGAAGCTTTATTCCTCATGGAGGCATTCATGATTAATATAGTCTGCAATACATGATTGCATTGATTGTTCATGAGCTTTGAATGTGTTTTGTACTTTTTATGTTACAGGCTATGGCGATATACATGCTGTCAATCCAAGAGAAATGATATTCATCATGATATTTGTGTCTTTTGACATGATCCTTGGTGCTTATTTGATTGGTAACATGACTGCATTGATTGTTAAAGGCTCAAAGACAGAGAGGTTTAGAGACAAAATGACAGATCTAATCAAATACATGAACAGAAACAAACTTGAAAAGGAGATACGTGATCAGATCAAAGGGCATGTGCGGTTACAGTATGAGAGTAGCTATACTGAAGCTTCTGTCCTTCAGGATATTCCAGTTTCTATTCGTGCCGAGGTTTGTGTAACATTTTAAATTCACATCCAATGTATATGGTACACTTGAAGAAATCAATTATGGAAAAACTACCACTGGAGGGGGTTGTCCATTTCTATAGCGTTGATGGACCACCCAAAATGCATGTTAAGAGGTTTTATAGGGCCTGAAATTTTCCAAACAGCTCTCGATTCACCTTGTGATCAATTCTAAAGAAAAAGTGATGTTTAGCTCTTGATCTATAGGTCTTCTTGCGAACTAATGGATGGTCAAGAGTCATAGTTTGAGTGGCAGCTGCCATCTAACAAATGGATGGTTCTCGGGAAGTCCATCAGTGCTGTAGAATGGACAGTCCCATTCATAGAAGATTTTCCCATCATTTATTTTATATTGTTGTGATCATCCACTAGTTTGTTATCATAGATGAAAGATAACATTGCGGTGTCAAATCTGTTGCCAAAATTTGTCCCTGGATTCAGCCTCCAGTTTACATTTGTTTTTATATAATACTACTAACTTAGAGTTCTCCATTTATTGTTGAATACATATCTCTCCTTAAGGTGATCTATTTTTGCAGATTTCGCAATCTCTCTACAAGTCAACTATTGAAGCAGTTCCTCTATTGAAAGGATGCTCATCTGAATTCATTAATCAAATTGTGAGTCCCTTATATGCAGTTATAGTACATTCTCATATTCTAATGCACTACACTTTTGAAGCACATTCTTGTTTTTTGGTCCTTTTAATGCCAAAAAAGGACAGTTTTTTTACCTGAATCATGTACCTATTGTCTACTCATAGATATCTTCTTAGAAGTTTAAAAAGTACCAAATTCTTTTAGAATGATGATATATTTGTTGATGAACATCATGATATGTTGGTTGATAATCTCTTGTAATGGCTGGATATCAGCCACAGAAAATGCTAAAACATTAACCAGAAAAGTATTATTCTGCTGATGGTTAGGTCATGTTTGAAAGGTGGCCATATTGATCCCACAAAATGCATGTAAATTAAAAAATTTTCTAGTAACTACAGCAACGAGTTTATTTACAAGTGCCACTTACAATAGAATTCCAATAAAACAAATTAAAAGCAAACTAAGGATCCTCACTTGCTACCATATCACAACCTCATTGAGTCATTTCATTCATTATAAATCAGAAAATTACAAGAAGAAAAGGAAGCAAGAACCATGGGAATCCATTATCGTAAACAAGATGCATGGGATCACCTCCAAAGGACTTAGTATATCCTGCTCCATTTAATTGAGCTCAATGGCGCACTAATCACGGTTCCTGCCTATTCTCCTCAAGATGAGAAGCATATGACAAACTGAGAACACAAGAAGGGATATGAGAGAGCAGAACCAAATCAGTGCACTAGGGCACTCCAAAAACCAAACATGATCATACCTCATGGTAGGATAATTGGTTGTGGGCTCAAGCTTGGGGGGTGCCACTCTAGATCTCCTTATGTGGGTCGTGGCACCCCCCACACAGTGGGCTAGAGAGAGAGAGAGAGAGAGAGAGAAAAGAGAGAGAAGGTGGCATATGGAGCAAGAGGAGAGAGAAATAGGCCTTTAGTCAAATTAGGGTTAGGGTTTCCCATGACATAAAGTCTTTTGATAATTGTGTCCCCAAAACTTGGGTGCCGTCTTATTGAGATTCAATATGGAGCATTGATCTGCAGTGATCTATGGGGTGAAGAGAGGCTTTTAATCTCAGCCCTCTATTCCCTAAATCAACCACATGATAGAGGAAAGGATCTAGATCACTTACCCTTAGTTTCCTTGACCCATGCTCTTGTAATTTAGAAATATCCAGCAACATAAAATAAGATAATCTCCCATACAAAAATTGCACAACCTTATGAAAAGAAATGGAGATACTTTCTAAAATCTTATTTCGCACCTTCTTTCCATTACCATTCAATAGTCAAAACTCAATCTCATGAAATAACTCAAATATAGGGGCGTGTGGGTCATGGAGGCCTTGTGGGCCCTACGTGGGTCTTCCATAATTTTTCAATGCCCAAAGATATATTTCTAAACCCCTTCTTCTATTTTTAAGGAGGCTTATGAATTTTTAAAACTGAAAGTCCATTTATTTTTAATGAAAATTCATGATGCGATAATAAAATATGTAACACGCTTTAAAATTTTATTTTAGTGATTAATAATTTCTAAAACATAATTAAAAGATAATTGGATCCATTAGATGAGGAATATCCAAAATAACTAAGGCACTCTACCTTTGCTAGTTCGTGTGGTCCACAATCCATCGTCTCAATCTAATTCCGCAGAACCCATGACGTATAGTCTATTGTAGGGGCTTGTACTTGGTCCATCATAGTTAGCCAATAAATGGAGAGAACACAAGTCTAGTGTATGGATTATCGGTTCCCATAAAGACAAGTCATGTCTCACGTAGATATGCGCATACTATTGCAATGGTGTAGGGGAGCTCTCTTCAGCACATGTATACGTGTTACCCCCAATGAGTCGCTTCTCATAGATACAATTATCTTATGTTGAGGATTTGGCCTTTGCCCTTAGTACCACAGGAGACTGGCAACCTCCTGGCTAATCCATCATGGCCATCTCTCTTACTCAACAAGGGCTATTCGTGCAAACCCTCTACAGTTGCATCTTATGCCTAGAACTAAAGGGTTTTTTCATTTTGAACTATATTCCCCGGCCCAAGTGAGTCAACGGGCACTATGAAGCATGCCTCACCAATCCTACGTGGGGCCATGCTTCCAGCGGAATATAATATCATTGTAATCTTAGTTTTTACATGTTGTCAAGGCCTTTAAAGGCAATATCCCCCAATGTCTTCAGACCTATATTTGGGCTCATTTTATGTGGGTCTGGATGACATATCATGTAGTGTTGTACCTCTTGAGGTAATGATATATTTCTCAAATGAATTGGAGCAATCAAGTCTTTCAACCATGTGACAAGCATGCTTCCACAGGCAAGGGAGTCATGTGATTAATATATGTTGAATGTTTAATCTTAGCCAATTCCCGTGGTCCAATAGGCAAACTACCAATTTGTGGAGAGGGCTCTAGGGTTGGAACATTCTCAAAGAAAAAACAAAAGAACAAAAAATTTTGGTTGAAATTTCTTTGTGCAAACCAAGCTCAGTAACAAAAAATTCTGGTTGGATTTCTTTTTCGCAAACCAAGTTGACTAACACAAAATGGAATGCTTCGAGTAAATTTTTAAAGTTTAAGATCTATACATATTTTTGTAGGGGTTTAGAACAATGAAAAATTAGTTAAGTGTTGAGTGGGCGACCATTTATTTTGAATTGGCAGATTAAAATTAAATATCTTTAGAGGTGATTTAGATCAATTTCATACTACCGCTTATGCTGGAAATGAAAAATGGGAGATGGTCAAGTAGGCTAACTGGCTCTAGGCCTTCAAATCAGTCCTCAAAGACTGAACTCCTGGGTGAAAGAAGTTTTCATTTGAAGCAGTGTCTGTCTTGAAGAACTTCTTATTGCGTTTATCCTTTCTGAACAGCCATATATCAGTTTACCTTCTTTTAAAAAATATATCTATAACAATTGCTGTAAGTTTGAATCAAAGAGTTGCGTCGTGTTTTTTTACATATCAACAAGGTCCTTCAACCAATTGTGCCTCTATCATTTCAGTAGGAACTCTTAGCATTATTCTTCATTACTTAGTTAAGTTTGGTAGCAATGTATCCTTGGAGGACTCTGTTTTATTAGAGAGGCCTAAAAGACCTAGCACCTTATGCTCTTCTGTTTTGGGATCTTAAAATGACAAGTGAGTGATCATGCAGAAACCAAATTCAAAATACAATACAAAATAAACTGCAACATTCTTGCACAAAGAATCTGATTTTTGTTCCATCATGTTAACCATAAAACTGTTCATGCATTTATAGTATTCAATTGGGCAACAATAGTAAAACACATACCTCATCACTTTCTATTTTTGTTATATGCATCTACAAACATCTTTGAAACAGAGATCTATGTGGAGCAATACATGTCATTGCACCAACCATGAGTCGAATATATAAGTGTGTAATCCTCATTTAAATGCAAACTACATGTAATCCGCTTGAGAGTGCAAAATTAACTCTATGCCATAGGAGTACCAAATGATGGCCTCTCATATATCCAACAAGAGATCCTCCACAAAATATCACAAGCTCCATATGATATAGTTAGGTTCATCCGATTTTAGAAAACTTATGCCCTGTATTTGGAACTGCATGTTCTTCATTTCTTTGAGTGTCTCTCTATCCAATGGACTTCATCTATAACTCTTTAATCCATTATGCACATATTAAAACAGACTCCAATGAATACATATGGTGATATGGGATATGTGGATGCACAGACATAGACATATATTTTAATAGCTTTGATGCTCTTTTATTTTTTTTAATGAAGCATGGTAACATACAGACATTGCACCATGTCAAACTGGAACTTCTTTAGATGTGAAATCCTCTCTGTTGATACAGGTAATCAGATTACATGAGGAATTTTTCCTCCCTGGAGAGGTAATCTTGGAGCAAGGCAATGCGGTGGACCAAATTTATTTCATAAGCCATGGAGTCGTGGTAAACATTGAATATCTTTTCAACTTCACGTCTATTTTTTTTTCATATGCATATATCATCATGCCTTGAAAAATATGTATCGAATCATGGAAGCTCAAATCATTCTGATTTTTAGTCTGTAACATTAAAGTTTCCCATGACAACAAAATCAATAGTGTTTAGAATTTTTCTTTTACAGGAGGAAGTTGGTATAGGAGAAGATGGATTAGAGGAGACAATTGTGCAGCTTGAACATGACAATTCATTTGGAGAAATTGCCATTTTGTGCAATATTCCTCAACCATACACTGTCCGTGTATGTGAACTATGTAGACTTCTTCGACTCGACAAACAATCATTTTCGAATATCCTGCAAATATATTTCATTGATGCTCGGACAGTCTTGAACAACCTTTTGGAGGTAAATGCTGTTGTTTATTGTCATTGTAAAAGCAGCAAAAATTTGCATCTCTTGTTCATATTGTGCTTCTCCATTTCATTCTTCACTTGCGGCATTTGTGGTTGTTGCTTAGAAATAAATTGCATTATAAATAGATAAACGAGATCTCCATAAAATATTCCCTTAATAACAATCTGACTCACCATGAAAAATAATCATTCTATGCAATTAATCTGTGATTAGTCTCTCAAAGTAGTTGGTTCTGCATTTTTTTTTAATTGTACTTTCTCAATTGACAGGGAAAAGAATCAAGTCTCCGGCTTAAGCAACTGGAATCAGATATTATATTTCATATCAATAAGCAAGAAGCTGAGCTTGCTCTTAGAGTAAATAGTGCTGCATATTACGGGGATTTATATCACCTTAAAGGTTTGATTCGAGCTGGAGCTGATCCCAAGAAGACAGATTATGATGGACGGTCAGCTTTGGTATGAATGAAATCATGTTTGAAATGTATTTTTTTTATTACCTGTTTATTTAATAACTATCATTTCCTACATATCTTTCTTTTTTATATTAATACAAAAGGGTGAAGAAATCATTGGTTTGGATGGAAGTTTAGAATTTTTTAGTAAATAACAATTCTATTTGGGTTCAATCTCAGATTATTGGTTTGCATGCATGCATGCATGCCTATAAAAGAACATGAAGCCAGCTTATGTAGACAATATTTCATTTTGTTGAGGTTATGGCTTTCAGTCTCACTTCATCGCTTGCTTGGTCCACGGAAGTCAAAAAAAAAGTACATGATGCGCTGGGAGCAAAACATTCCTCACTATTATCCATGAAAGAGAAGCCATATTTTTTAATTTTTTTTTTTTAAAAAAAGGCAATTGAACTATTTGCCAAATGTAACCGGATTAGAAATTTGATTTTCAGAAAAAGCATAATATATGTTGGGTAGATTGAGTACAGTTGTGCTCTAAATTGATGCATAACTTTCACAACACATGGGTTTATAAAGATGATGATACTTTTGAAATTTGTTAGTTTCATTTAATATTAACTTAGTAATTCCCATTAAACAGAGAATATCAGTTTTTGAAACTCTTGTGCATTTTTGTTGTTTAGAGTGGTGCCATTGAGCTTAGCCCTAAAATTTAAAATATAATTGAACAGCTTAGTGGTACCCCAAAATGTGAAAATATTTAAACCATATAGCACAATAATAATATGCAAATTGGCCTAAGATACACTAAGAGGAAACGGAGACTTGTACCTTGAGCTCATATAGGACCTCCAAGGGTGCCATATTGTTTTGGCAAACTAGGATACATCAAATCATTAAACTGCATTATGTATGTTTGACAATTTGAATTCATGAAAATGACTTGGCACATTGTATAACGATCAATATTAGTGTGCATCTCCAATTTGATCTTATTTTTTTTAATTGGTGCTTCTTCAATTTTGATTAATTTACATCAACCCACTGCCATTCCTTTTTCCATGGTAGTGAGTAGTGATGCGTGAACCCATAAACATAAATTTTGGGCCTTTTCATTTTTGGTTTAGTTGTCAAAAGCGTCCTTGTGATTAACTTTGTTCTCCTTTTTTGTCAGCATTTAGCAGCATCAAAAGGCTTTGAAGATATAACCACTTTCCTTATTCGAGAAACCGTGGATGTAAACTTAACTGGTAACCATTCTTTTTGTCTTAGTATATATTTTGGTCTATTTGTTTGTTGTATTCTTGTGTAATGACAAACAATAATTCATAACCCACTGATGAAATTGATGGTGATGGAGAGAGTGGAAACAACCATTATGCTCATGTCTCTTTTGGTCTGTGTCTGGTGAATTGATGTTGATGGAGAGAGTGGGACCAACCATTATGCTCAGGTCTCTTTTGGTGTCTGTGTGTGTGTGTGGTGCGACAAACTACTGATGGATACAGAAAAAAGCGACAAACTAGTGATGGATATGGCCTTTTATCCATATCCAGTATGTATGAATATATATATGACCTTGTACTATATATATGCATTTCTTTTTCACTAAATTTGTTGTTTTAGATTCCTCAATCATTATAGTGCTTAGAAGTTATATATTCTCACCCATAAAAGAACCATCTATTGCCAGATAAATTTGGAAACACTCCCCTATTAGAGGCTATCAGATATGGACATGATCGTGTGGCTTCCTTGCTTGTCAAAGAAGGAGCGTCCTTAGATATTGATGATGCTGGTGGTTTCCTCTGTAAAGCTGTTGCATCGGGCAATACTGATTTCTTGAAACGCCTTTTGGTTTATGGCATGGATCCAAATTCTAGAGACTATGATTATCGAACTGCTCTTCATAAAGCTGCAGCTGAAGGGCTCTACTCTTTGGCAAAAAATTTATTGGAAGCCGGTGCAAGTGTTTTCTCAAAGGACAGGTAGATATGTTTGCTCAGCTTTCATGTTTTCACCATGTCAAAATTTAACTCCCAAGCTTTTATTTTCGAACTTTGTTGCCCTCTGAGAAAAATATATATGAAGTTTAGATAAACAAATGTCTTCTTGTGTTGTTGTCATTAGGCTTTTTTTTTTTTCTTGTGTTGTCATCAGTATTTTTTGGAGTCAATTTTGACTATTTTTTTGAGTCAATGTTGACATTAGTACTAATCTCTAAACTATATCTACAATTAATTTTAGAAAGTGTTGCAGGATAAACAATTAAAGGGATATATGAATACTCACTAATGCTAAAAAATTTAGCATTAGCATATGTCATCACTAAAGTTTTACTTACGTATTATGAAAATAATATGTCATCGCTAAAGTTTTACTTGCATGTGTCATCACCGTTCTTTTACAGATGGGGAAACACTCCACTTGATGAGGGACACAGATCTGGAAGCAAGCTTGTTATTAACTTACTCGAAGAAGCAAAGATTGACCAGTTGTCTCGGTACCCCAACTATTCACAAGAAATTCAAGGTAAGCTTTTCAATCTGGAAAAAACTTGATTATTTGGAATCTGAGAGTTCCCCCACCATTAAATTATCCAAAAGTCTTGCCTTAATATTGTTTGAAACTCAGACATCAGCCAAATCCATCTAGATTTCCAAATGCAAAATGCGACATAATCAATTTGGATAAACCTAAGGCAATTTTGTATTTTGCATTTTTACATTTTTAAACAATATAAGGCATTTCAAGCAAATGCAAAATGGAATTTTCAAACAATACTAATGCGTTTCAAACAATTTTGTATGTGAGCACACCATCTCTCTGACCTTGGAACTTGTGAAAAGATGCATGTGCATGTATGTGAGAGATAGTGTATGCCTCTAGCATGACAGAACTCAAAGCTATTTCTAGAAGTGTTTGTGAATGAAAGCACATGTGCATGTGTATGTGAGCACACGAGAGAGATTTTAGGGATATGACGACTGACGAGTGACTATCCATTCCCACCATGAATGAAACAGGGAAAATAGAAGCAAAGAAGTGCACAGTGTTCCCTTTCCACCCGTGGGGCCCACGAGAGGAAAGGAAGGAAGGTGTTGTGATGTGGATCCCACCTACCTTGGATCAACTCCTGTCCTCTTCTTCTGAGCTCCTTGGCTGCTTCTGCACTTGCATCCTATCGGAAGATGCTGGGAAGATCCTTTCTGTTGATATGATATCAGATGGCCAAAAATTGTATGCTATCAGTGATGATTCACACATTAGAGATTCTTTGTAAAAGATGTATCATTTGATATGTAAAAATATGACATAATGTATCCAAAAATACCAATTTGTTTGCATTCAGAGAAGTTTGTACCATGAGGCGTAAGAATTTTCATTGATAAATTGATTATGGCAGTTTGTATGGCGCATTTAAATGGCTGTACCAAGCTGTCTTATTTGGGATGGAAAAAACAAGTTATTAAAATTTTTGTCACATCAATCACCTCACAATTAGCATGGCATAAGAGATGAAGCGACACTATTAGTGTATCTTGAAATGAGTATTTTTTATGAGTATATGGCCAAATGCTTACAGGAATTTAGATTCAAAATTTGAGAGGCAAATAAGGTGGACTTCAGTGAATCAGTGTGCAGAGGAATTGCTAAAGAATGGCAGAAAATCATATTTTCTCACCCTCGCGCGCTTGCGTGTGCATGCGCACGCACAAAGAGAGAGTTTTGACGTTACATTTGAATGAGAGATGGGCAGTTCCCTAGGACTCTGCGAACAATCATGGACAGCAGCCCTTCCCTTGAAGATATCACCTTAGAAACCAAACAATCCCTGAAATGGAATGGTCTTGGGCTTTGAAGCAATGGCTGGGTGAGATTTGTTTAAGGTGTCAACCTTATATATTGAAGTAAGGTGCACCTCAAAACTATGCGAAAAATGTAATTTTGGTGCCCTAAAGCCTTACAATGACATGAAATCTATTGTTGCCTCCAATTTTGAAATTTAAAATTCCAGAAACAGAGATGATCAAGAAGATCTATACGCATTTGAAAATATTGAAAATGGACGATCCAGAGAATGTGTCACAAGAACTATTTTTAGGATTAGAAACTTTTTTTTTTCATGTCTATAAATTTTGAGATCGAGATGATCGATTTGAGGGTTTCTTAGCATAGGAACAACCTCTTCTAGTGAGTTTTTTAGGCGCACCGACCTTATATAATCTTTTTCCTTTAGAACCCGTTGGATACCTGGATTTTTCAATATTGGGAAAAGTCAATCCTGGAATTGACATTTCTTGGAATATGGCGTATTATGTTTGAATTGCATCCGGTAGAAATCAAGGAACTGCAAATTCTCTATTTGTATTGCCTGAAATATCTTTTTCTTGGACATGCAAATACTTTCTCGCTCTCTCTCTCTACAAATTTTGAGATAGTTTCTCACTCTAAATTTTTTAAAACACTCTTTCAAAAACTTAAAAGTTGAAATAGTTTCTCTCTAGAAAAAATTTTGAGATAGTTGTCTATGAATTTTATATATTCTCTCTAAAACTGAAAATTTGAGATAGTTTCTCTTTATGAAAATTTAGATAGTTTCTCTCTCTAAACTATGATCTAGTTTTTCTCTAAAATTAATGTACTTTCTCTATTTAAAACTTAAACTTTGAGATAGTTTCTTTTTAAAAAATTTAAGATAGTTTCTCTCTCTAAGAAATTTTAGGTACTTTCTCACTCTAAAATTTGATATATTTACACTCTAAAATTTTAAGATGTTTTCCCTATCTAAAAGTTAAATTTTGAGATACTTTCTCTCTCAAAATTCTTAGGTAGTTTCTCTATCTAAAATTTTAATATACTTTCCCTCTCTAAAACTTAAAATTTGATATAGTTTCTCTATCTTCAATTTTTCAAATAGTTTCTCTCTCTAAAAAATTTAGGTACTTTCTCTATTTAAAATTTGATATAATTTCTCTTTCTAACTCTAAAACTTATAATTTGAGATAGTTTCTCTCTCTAAAATTTTCAAGTAATTTCTCTCTAAAATTTTAGTATACTTTCTCTCTCTAAAACATAAAATTTTATATAGTTTTTCTATCTAAATTTTTTTAAATTGTCTCTCTCTCTAAATATTATCTAAATTTTTTTAAATAGTCACTCTCTCTAAATATTACAAGTACTTTCTCTATCTAAAATTTGATATAGTTTCTCTCTCTAAAACTTAAAATTTGAGATAGTTTCTCTTTCGAAAATTTTTATGGTAGTTTCTCTATCTAAAATTTGATATAATTTCTAATCTCTAAAATTTTAATATGTTCTCTCTCTAAAACTTAAAATTTAAGATAATTTCTCTCTCTAAATGTTTTGAGATATTTTTTTCTGAAAAATTTGAAGTAGTTCCTCTCTCTAAAATTTAATGTAGTTTCTCTCTCTAAAATTTTAATATGGTCTCCTTAAAACTTTAAATTTGAGATAGTTTCTCTCTAAAAATTGAAGATAGTTTTTCTTGAAAAAATTTGTATATTTTCTCTCTAAAAAATTTTGTATACCTTCTCTCTCTAAAATTTAATATAGTTTCCCTATCTAAAATTTTAATATGTTTTCTCTCTTGGAAATTTGATATAGTTTCTCTCTTTAAAATTTTAATTTTTTTTTTGTTTTTCAGCCGCAAAATGGATTATTTCCATGAAATGTCAATTCCACCTATTTTGGTGGAATTAAGATTTCTAAAATTTAGGCTTAAAATGAGCATTCAAGAATCCCTTGGAAATCTCAATTCCAACATAAATGTCAACTCTAACCCACCAAACACGATTGGCCCAGCTTTTTCAAAAAAAGTGACTCTTGGAAATTGTAATCTAATGACCTAAATTGGCCCTTACAAAATGCAAGGGTAAAGATAGACCCGTGGAATTTGCAATACAAAGCCATCGCTACGAAATGGAATGGTCACATTAGCATGCGTGGATAAAGACTCCTATGGTTTGGTTTTGCTAGAGGGAGGGAATGTACAATTTCTACTCATAAACTTTGTTTTCATATCTCAATAGACTCAAAGATTCAAAATACCCTGATTAACTTTATCGACTTTTAATTATTTTTTTAATTTTAACAAATATAAAAAAGACATGTTCTTTCTAAACTCTTCATCTTTATGTGATATATTCCCCCAAATTTCTCTGTCTGTAATATTCACCCTCTTTCTCTCTCTAATGCGGGAGAGAGAGTAGGAAAATAAGTAAAAACAGATATTTATGGGAAAATTATGTGAAGAGAGAGAAGATATGGTGTTTAGAAAATTATGTCTTTCTTATATTTGTTTTGGGCAAAAAAAATAGGTTTTAAAAGGATAAAGTTAGTTTCGGAAGGTTAAAAGATATAAAAACTTAAAATTTTTATGACTCAAGATATGTTTTAAAACTTTTGGTCTATTGAGATATAAAACTTAAAAACGGGGGGTATGGAGATATATTTCCTAATTTTATTACTTGGTTGAAATAAGTGTTACATGGACACTGATACGAGATTCATAGATATGAAAATAAAAATAAAAAATACGATTTTTAGGTTTTTTTTTTTTTGGGATAAAAGTACTTAATATTATTGAATCAAAAAGGTGTTACATAGCCAAATATACATTTTAAAAGAGGAACTTTAAATAACTAGATGGTCAAGTAAAACTCCTTTCCTCGTAAGATCATCCACAATATCATTGGCCTCTCTATAAACATGGCCAAAAAACACCGCACCATTCAAAAACAAATCCATTACTTGCAATCAAAGCGACCTAAGTCTCCAAAGAAGTCTGGCTCTTCCACTACACCAATTAATTACATTAGATGAATCTCTTTCTATTACCAGCGAACTCTCCAAATTTTTGTCCTTCCATATGATGAGCCCTTGAAGTAAAGCAATCACCTCACCCCCAAGGGACATCATAACATAAGACCACATTTCCCCTGTCTTCTCGACACACCCCCTAACTCCCGCTAGGCTTCCCAAACAACGATCCATCAAAATTGAGTTTAAAACTTCCCCTTGATGGCACCATCTGCCCAGGTTCCCAAACGACGATCCATCAAAATTGAGTTTAAAACTTCCCCTTGATGGCACCATCCAAACACTCATTGACGAATGAATCAAGGATGCAAAATTGTAAAAAATGTCTACCTTAGATACTCCCCATCCCTCATTAATGCCAAACCCACTCCAAACTTTATTCAACTCTTGCACCTCCACCATAACCCCTTCAAAGTTATCCTATTCCCATCCCTCCTTAGTAATGCCAAACCAACTCCAAACTTTATTCAACTCTTGCACCTCCACCGTAACCCCTTCAAAGGTTATCCCATTCCTTTCAAGCCAAAGTTCTCAAATGATAGCTGCATGCAAAATATCCCACAATTTTCGGAACACCACACATTTTCACTTGGGACACAAAACTTGAGATCGACCCAAATAACAAAAACGAGCTTCCCACTTATCTATGAACATTGAAGGAAAAGGTGGTCACAAATCTCCTCATCATTTTTTACAAAAGAGGCATACATTAATAATGATTTTTTCCTGTTTTCCAATATTATCAACAGTTAACATCTTACTTTGAGCCAAAATCTAAATAAAAGCTTAAACTTTGTGTGGTATCCTCCACTTCCAAATATCTTTAAGTACTAGCAAAATCCATCTAATTCGATCGTAGAACAAAATATTATGCACCTGTTCTATCAGATTTAACTGAAAAAGTTCTATCAGATTCTAACTCACATACCACTTCATCATAACCTTGGACGAGATATACACCTGTTTCGGCAACTATGTATTGCTCAGCTGCATAATTTGGTAACCTGTTCTGCATACAATTTAAGTGCCACACAGCATATGGACCATTAGTCACACCAACCTTATTAACCTTGGGCAACGGCTGAGATACCCTTAAAAACAAATCATGAAGTAAAAATTTAAGAGGCCTATTAGTCAACCACTGTGAGAGTGGCATATCCAATAGCTTATGTTTTTGCAAAATTTACGTTTTAGACCTAACACCACCTCACAACATCTTCAGAAACGTCTAATAATCAAAACTTGATCTAAAGCAACCCCACAAAAGAGAATAGCGTCATCAACATATTGGAGATGTGAAATAGCAGGCCCAGTAAGGCTCACAAGGAAACCACAAAAACCATGATTTTGCACAACGTTATGAATCATAAGAGCCTTAAACAGAGAAAGAGGATCACCTTGTTTACCATTAAACGGGGAAAGAGGATCACCTTGTCTACCAATAATATGCTGACACCAAGAAATCCACTTTCTCCACCGAACACCAAAACCCATCCGACATAGAATTTCATCAAGAATCCCTCATTCAATACGATCTTATGCCTTCTCCATGTCTAGCTTAAACAGGATACCAGATCACCACTCACATTTCTTGCATGAATACACTCCTGTGCGATCAACACCTCATCCATAATTATTCTTCTACTAATGAAGGCCGATTGAGTTCTTGAGACCACAAGGTTCTAAATTAAAAAGATGAAATGTATGAAGACAGATATGAAGACCGATTGAATTTTTTTTCTTACATTTCTCAACTAGGTTTTAAATACATCCAAAACTATTAGCGGATTTCACTGATTCATCAAACTATCAAAAATTAATTCTAGGTGTGATGTGATTTTAGCTTATTCACCAAACTATCAAAAAAAAAAATAAGTGATTTCACCCAATTCACCAAACTATCAAAAAATCACTTCTAATCCATCCGAACTTTTTTCGAGACTGCCATTTGAAATCTCTTTGGTAAAGTTTCATAATCGTTCTCCTCCAACATCTTATTCAATATTTTATCTGATTTCTTGAGCACAACTGAGGTTGCTAAAACAAAAGATACACCGATTCCAATGAAACCATCACAATCAAATATGGACTAACATAAGTTATTAGAATTTTAAGAAGTTGTGAACTCATGTTGCTTATACGGTTTCATGAAATGCACGAGTTCCACCACGAACATCTCATGGTGCAACATCGATTTATCGGTATTTTAGCTTTTGTAAATACTAAGAATATTTCAAAAATAATATGATTTAATATTATAACTCGTTAAAAAAATGTTTTTTTTTTATAGAGAGTGAAGGTGTCGGCGCATTGAAGAGTAGAAAAAGGAAAACATTATAATATATTTGTTCGAGAACGCGCATTGAAGAGTAGAGAAAGGAAAACAGTTCGAGAACACTTCTTGGCCTAGTGCTTATAGAGCAAAGGTGAAAGTACAAGACTTGTGGGGAGCACACGAAGCACGTGAGGGCACTTGAGCTACACTTTGCACACACGTAGAGGCAGGCGCTTGTGCACAGGTGTAGGTCGGGCTCCTAGATTACTATCTTACAGCTAGTTGCGGCACAAATTATTTTTTTTTAATCACATCGGACGGTGCACCGAGGCATATTTTGCACTTTGCACGTTTGCAGAGCAGAGGTGCCTTGCATGAGTGCAGGTCGGTCGGGCTCGCAGCTTGCTATCTATTTGCGAGCTACGACACAGACTCATTTCTCTGAATCGCATCGTACAACATGCATGCATGCATGCAACTATTAGTGCCTCTCTTTTTCGCCGTTGCATGTTACACGACAGTTATGCCACTTTATGATTATTGGAATAGTTAATGTTGGTTTTTGGCGGTTAGTGATTGTTACGTAGTTATAATATCATTAACAGTCACGAGTGTGAATAGTCACAACTCTTCACTTGAAAAGCCAGCTTCTTACTCTATAGACAGGGATCCAATTTCCCCATTTCCTAAACACACACACACTCTCTCTCAAAACTAAAGGCAGTTGTAATGTACTTAAAGACTTGCTATTCAATGCATTAAATAGGAGAACAACCTTACTATTTTAGGTATCCTGATAACTAACTACTTAGCCCGGTATATCTTTTTGCACACTGATTGCAATAAGTAGGGAACAAATACCGTCTTGAAACACTGCCTTTGTGTGCCAAGGTCCATCATTTGGTTCTTATTTTATAAATTGTGCCCTTATTTCAACATCACATTGGTATTTGACCTTTATTCTATATGATGATGAGGTGGGCTGGGCTTTTACACATAAATGAATACTTAAAACATAAAATTATCATAAATCCTGCCTCTCTCTTTTTTTTAATGCAAATGAAAACATAAATATGGATGAAGTTTCTATAAGGCTTAGGCCTTACGAAAACAAAATAAGGCCTCACCACAAAAACTCGTCCGGAAAACACTTTCATCAATGGAAATCTCCATGATGAATCTAAAATCAATTTTCAACACTAACAAAATTTGAAACTTAAAAAATGGTACAGATCTTACGGATCTATGAACACTTATTTTTAGGGAAAAATAGAATCGTAATTTTTTTCACAACCATAATGTTCTAGCCAAGATGATCGATGTAAAATTTTTCCAATACTTGTAATCTTGGATGAGTTATGAGGTGAGGCTTTACTTATTTTGATAGGTCTAAGCCCCCTATCAAACCATTTTTCTAAATATATATTTGCAATAGCCCTGCCTATTTTTTAGGTGCCAATGAAATCATATATATATGTTTTCCATAACATAGTTTCAAAATATAGATGGCTATATTTTAGATTTTCACAAACTGCATTCCAATTATGCGTGGTTGGACTTAGATAATAATATTTGATGAGCTTATTTCTAAGTGTTCTGAGCTTATTTTTAAGTGTTGTAATATGGTGTTGAAAGGTGTGGTCTGCTGCTTTCTTTTTTGAAGTTACTCAGACTTTTGAGTTGATTTCTTCTTCTTAACCAGTTTTAATGGGAATTTGAATAAATTTGGTCATCCTTGGGTGATTTCATACACTGTCTGCCATCCTCAATGAAATACATTTTAGGGGCATCTGTTTGAACCCAAATTTGCACACTACTCTCTTTATCCCTAATAAGCAATTTCAAAAAAATAAAGAAAAAAAAAAAACACAGCCTTAGACAGATCGTCTAATTGGAAGGACAGTTAATTTAGGCCTCTAAGAAATTAAACTCGTTTCTCTCTCGAAAATGTTCATCTATGATAAGATAGGAACAAATATTAGTGTTTTGTATGATTCAAATCAACTTCGGTCCTTTAATAATTTGTTTAGAGTATTTTCTTATTAATAAAATTGATGTCATTACAGTCATTGTTATGGCTTGTTATAGCCAAATACTCGCAATCGTTTACTAATATGTTTGGGTTATTTTATGTCCCAACCACCTTTATGCTTGCCAATGGTTAGTCCACCTTTTGATGACCATGCCCATCTTTGTTGGTTAATGAATGCTATTTTATTTAAGATCATCCGACCACCATCCCAACTACTTGAGATATACTACACGAATCTTGTTTCATCATTTCACTTCATTTTGACTGTCTTCACCCCCAACAGCATTACCTCATCCCTCTTGCTCTATTCACCTAACGACTCATCATGTATCCTATTTTGTCCTATAAAACAATCATAAAACAAAAAACTACTTACTGCAGGGATAAGGAGGTTACATTCACCATCGGCTACAGACAGAAATTGGACAACTGAGGTGTATTGTTAATCGGGGTTGAAGTCCCAAGAAATTTTTTTCGAAATTTATGAGACATCAGATTCCAACTCATATTCTAAGTGATTTTGACCCCTTGTACCGAAAGTAAATGATCTATGGAATACAGTTCCATTTTTAATACGTCTTACTAATTTGTAGAAGCTGCTGGCAAAAAGGTCGTTTGAACCACAACCACATCCTTAATCCTATTTTGGATTTCCAAGTTGCCGCCATGTTTAAGCCTCAACTTGGAATGTCATACCATGAGAAAGACTCCTATGAATCCATAATAAGCCATTTAATCTACTTGAAACTCCCTATAAATTTACAACACTGAACTATTATTGAACAACCATAACTTTTCTCTCATGGCCGTTTTTATCTTGGCTGAAATTTTACACTGGGTGTAGAAACGAAGTTAGCAGGGAAGCTCGACAATGAAAATTTTGCTTAATGAAGAGAAACCACTTCACTTTCTAACTTTTTGGAGTTTCATATGCAGGAAAGTAGGCCTAGTCCAATGAAAAAGCACCATTGCAGTACCTGCCACAGATCAATTTTTGAGACAAATTACTAAGATGCCCCTGCTTTTCAAGGAAAGTACCAGGAGAGCTCTACTTTCAAAATTTAAAGAAGACCTCAAACTACTTCCAGAGCGAGAAAAATAGGTACGTTTAAACCTATATATAGGTATCCATATACTTGCATGCTTTGCATAACATAAGAATATATATGTGCATGCTTTGTTTCAGATGTATTATGGAATAGATGCCTTAGATGTATAACATACATAGACATATTATACATATATACAATAACACGCACACATGCACACAAATGCATAATACGTACATATGGTATAGTACATAGACATCCATCTACATCCATCTCTCTCCTCTCTCTCCCTCTCACAACAAATACAGGATAAAAGTATATGCGTGTGTGTGCATATATATATATATATATATATATATATATATGTCTGTGTGTGTGTGTGTGTGTGTAAAAACTTTCAACGGGACAAATTATTTCATCCATAGTCATCTAGGATGCAGAGGGGGCATTCTTCCATGTAAAACACCATTCATATTGCCCCATGGGTACTGCAAATGCAGTCTTACATTGATCTTCTTCACCAGAATCCTGATATCAGGTCAAACTTGCTGAAAATCCATGCCCTAGGAGATTCTACTTATTAGGCCCTTTCGGCATCAGATCGTGGATCCATTTCAGGACATGATTGAGAGGCTTGCACTAACTCCTTTTAGTCAAGCTTCCTAGTCTCTACAGGTATCTGCACTGCCCTCGTACAAGTAGGGATTTTCTCTCTCAAGCACCATTTTGATTAAGGAAGCATTCCTCTTTCCCAGGTATGCATTTCCCACAAATTTCTCAGATTTAGGAGGCATAACATTCCAGCACATTTTATTCGCATTCGGTTCCTTGAGCTAGTGCAAGATCCCTAGTTGACGATTTTGTTCCCTGATGCAAACTATAACACTCCACAAGCTGTCTCTCTCTTTGGCAAGCTGTCCAATTGCTGAGGTCAGATGGGAACTAGAGATCAGATCCTTTCCCTTCATTTCCCCTTTAATACCATCCATGTTAACTTGGATTGGCTGAATTAAGAACAAAAATCCAGTCCCCAATGAAACATACCATTCAAGACCCTCTGTTATTATGAGTCCTAGTAACTCACAGACTTGTCCTATGCACACATGGATGTCAAGGGCCATCCATGGAGCCTGCAGCCTCACTCTGTCCACTTCCCTACCTTATTCTGCCTATTTCCAAATGTGATGGGGACCCAATCTTTTCTTATGCAGTTATAATTGACCGAGTTGAGGTTGGTGAAAACATCTATGTGAAATCTTCCTCAATTTAACAGTCAAGGTAGTGATCCATTTCTGGAATCAATGAGTTATCGTACCTATGAACATCTTGTTCTCATATTTTTCCAGTTTGAGTTGCTCTCTCCTCTAGAAAATCTCCTTTTTCTAAGATCATGCTTAATTGTCCAATGAACATCTTGCTCTCAACTTTTCCCGATGAACACCTCGTTATCGCACCTATGAACATCTTGTTCTCATTTTTTTCCTGTTTTAGTTGCTCTCTCCTCTAGAAACTCTCAATTTTCTAAGGTGCTGCTTAATTCCCCAAAGAAAGGGGCCTGCAAAGGGCGCGGCACCCTCTTTGCTGCTCTTCTAAAGCTTAAGATTGAGCATCTCACAGAATCGAAGCTGTTTTACTTCAGCCTGAAACTCCGCTAAAGACAGTGGGGTTGTAGCAACAGTGGACAGCCTTGACAAATTGTCCCCTCCCGTAAGGGATACAAAATGCTCTGCTGGTATGGTCCTTTTACTCAATTGCCTTGCTGCTAAGGGGAAGCAGCCAACGAAGTCAGGGCTCCCACTGCAACTTGTGAGTAGTCAAGCAGCTCATAAGACTGTTCTTATTTAGTGGGACCTAAGTGCCAGATCCCAAAGCTGAAGGAGTCCGTTTTCCGCATCGAGTAGAACCAGGCCTCTTCTCATTGTAAGTGTATGGTAGCCTGTAATTATGACGACTGAATTGTAGAAAACCCTTATTGGGTCTACTGATCTAAATTAAATATCTAAGGCCGCATGTCGATACAGGGCACAATTGTTTCAGTCGTCACAGTTTGGGATGATATCTCTGAGTCATTTGCATCAGAGGCATTTTCCAGGCAGTAGCACACCGCTCCAAAGTCAGGATTCCTCCTGCTCTTCTTCCTCCTCCTTAATAAGTAGCATTCGCTTCTTCCTCCTCCTTAATAAGTAGCATTCACCCACTTAGCTTTACAGTCCTTGAAACGACCTTTCTTTAGTCTTGTTTTTCCTTCCACGAGCAATCCTTTGTCCTTATACCTCGCTGAATGTTGAGGTTCTCAATCATATTCCATACCGAACTATCTGCAGACATTTTTGTTGACTTCAAAATCTCTTTTCTTGAGCTCAGTAACTCTTCTCTCTGTGGATCTTTCAACTATGGACAATTCACTCATAGAGAATAAGTGACCAAATGTGACTATCAAAATTCACATCATTAAACCTTGCTAGCACCAATTTCCCAGACCATTCTTTGTGGACAGCCTTCTGAATGTTGGACAAATGTTACACCCTTTTTCAAGGTTTACTTATACCAATTGTATTGGGTGAGGTAAGTGAAGGTGTGAGTGCCTCTCAATAATTGCACTTTCGGTCTTCCATCGTCATCATCGTCACTTTTTCTCAACTAATTAGGGTCAGCTACATGAATCATGATCCGCCATTGTACTCTACTAAGGGCCATACCCTCAGGGAGGCCAAAAGTTCCCATATCTTTTTACTAGTTCCAACCATGTCCTTTTGGGCCTACCTCTTGTCCTTTTTGAACCTTTCACTTGAATTAACTTGCACCTCCTAACATGTACTGTACGGGATCTGCGACACACATGGCCAGCCCACCTAAATCTATTTTCTCCCATCTTATCGCCTATTGGTACCACACCTAAATTCTCTTAAATGTATTCATTTCGAATTCCATCTCTTTTTGTCTTGCCACTCATCCATCTAAACATCATCATCTCAGTTATACTCATTCTATGGGTTTGTTGTTTCTTGACCACCCAACATTTCACCCTATAAAGTAAAGTTGGTATCCCTGTTGTCCTATCGAACTTGCCCTTCAGCTTCATTGGTATGCGACGATCACATAAAACTCCAGTTGCACATCTCCACTTCGACATCTTCCTCAATCTCTCTATTTTTCTGGATTATCAACCCAAGATATCAAAAGGACGCTTTTTTTTGTAATTTTTGGCAGTCAATCTTAACAACTTTAGGTCTTCCACAGGGCCACAAAATGGATTTCAATTGTGGCAGGAAGGCCCTCAACTAGATTCAGGATCTCCTGAACATAAGAATCTTGTTTAAAGGTCCCATCCCCTTTTACCCAGAGTTACAGATTCCTCCTTTCCTTCAACGAATCGATCCCACCAATATCTTAGGTTTCTGAGTAGTCCTCAGTAAGGTGTTTAGTTTCAACTTAAGACTTGACCCTGGAGATGTAGGCATTTGCTGTTGCAATCGTATGGCTGAGCATCTTGTTAATTTGCTCAAATTGCTTCCTACCAGTCGACCATGGGTCAATTGGACAATCATTAAAACATCCCCAAAAAAGGATAGAGTCATCATACTGTTATAAGTCCACAAAAAGGTTTGACTTTGCTCTCCTTCCAAACAAACATATTGATAAAATGGCGGTCATGGAATGATTGATCTGTTGAGACTTAGGATGAGCTATCTTCACATATAGCCCTTACTCATCTTGTGGTAGAAAAAGCAATTCCGGTGACTACCTCATAGTCACCATGTTATTTTCTTCCTAAGGCTTCAGTTGCCTTTGGTTTAATTTTTAGTGGTTGGGGAGCTGATTTTGCTTGCACAAATATTGGCGTTGAGGAATTAAAATCCTTGCCGCAGACTTACTGTGGGTCAACCTGACCATTTAGAAAGGTACCACTCATGGACTCCACAGAAAGGACAACCTTCTCCACTTATCCACAGATGTCTTCACCTATCTTATGGTTTATGGAATGTGGCATGGAGAGCTGTGCTAGTCTAGTTAAACTGCGGATAGACTAGGCCACGTGATGTTTAGCCTTCTGAGAGGAGAATGGGAGTTGTAGGCTTCATCTCATCTCCATCCAACCTAAGGGGCTCAAAAGGAGGGGACAATGAGATTCCTAACTGCACACCAGTGACTATGACCTTGGTGGGTTTTACCACTACCACAATGGAGCCTCCAAACACAGTCTAAGAGGAAGAGATTGCTTCGCAACAGTAACCTGGATTCAAGCCACTCATTCCTAACCTGGATTATTGCTTTACAGCTGAATTGCTCCAGCCATAACTTTCAATAAGGATCCTTCAAATATCCTTGTGCAGGCCCATCATTCTTTCTTAGGCAGATTCTTGCCCGATGATCAACTCCTTGCATATTTTACTCATATTTTATATATATTAAAAATGGAAAAAGCTAAAAAACGCCTATAGGCGAAATTGAATAGTGTTCACCACCGTCACGGACTTGCTATGTCCATGGCGGTTTATTGAACAAAGCCGCAACGGACAGCGCGTGGTCCATGGCGGTTTCTGTGAATTTTTTGATCGCCACAGACATAGCCATTTTTCAACCGCCACGGACATGTTATGTCTGTGGCGGTCGAAAAATCCTCGCCGCCTGAAAAAAATGGACGGCGATGGTGCTATGGGCGAGATCATTGTAGCATCTCGCCCATAGGCGTTGCGTAGATGCTTTTATTAAAACTATATATAATGGCAGACCAAGATTCATGTAGCCTACCCCTATTAATTGGGAAAAGGCTCTAATAATGATGATGATGATTAAAATATGTATATATACATAATTTATATCTATTAAAACATATATGTGGAAAAAGTTTATATAGAAGTTTATATATATATATATATATATATATATATATATATACTAAC